ATATATATATATATACATAATATGCTTGACATGTATTTGGGATTTAGCAGCACCACCTGTGCCTTCTTTTCCCCCAGACCTCCGTCCTCTTCACTCTCATCTCGAAGCAAGCCGCTTTCTTGTCTTTGATATAGCATTTTGTGGCAAGGGGGCCGTTGCATTCTTAAACACGCTCTGAAAGAATTAACACTAACTTCAAAAAGAGGTGAGCACGACTGGATGTGAACCAAAGGTTCCCGTGATTGTCCAGACACAGACTATCAGGCCACTGGAGGGTCTCCCAGTTCTGGACCAGTTGGGTTTGTGTTTCCATGGTAACCTCTTTTTCTGACAGGTGCTGGTCCAGCATATCGCGCCGTTTCTCCCACCTGGATAGATGAGAAAGTCGAAAGTCTGAAGTTCGATTATGACGCAAGTATTCAAAGTCCTTCGTTATGTTAGCCGTTGTCATAATAAAACTATATAACATTTTTTTTAGGGGGGGGGGAGGGTGTACGCCATAACGCAAAGGGTCAATCAATTGTCTACTATTAAATTGAGTCAAAAGCACCCCCAGCTAATAACTAAATCGGATATCAACGACGGAAAAGAAAGAAATTTTCAGAAGGATTATTTTGAACTTTAAAATTTTTCTTTTTTTAAAAAAGATTTTTATTTAGTTGAAAGTGTTTATGGCAACGCAATGGCCAATTATGTTTTCGAGCTGTCATTTCTGTATTGAAAACAAATTTTTTTTGGATAGAAGAGTTTGCAAGCAGGTATACATATCACTGGAAATGGATGAATTAAAGAGCGATTGCAGTGAAAAGTATGTCTTTCGATTAAAAGTCAGGAAAACCCTTTAGAAATATATTTATGAACAAAGGATGAAAAAGACGGACTGATTAATGAGCGAATTTATCAGTAAATTGTCAAAACAATAAAATTATTTTAAAATGTGAAAATAGATCAACATCGAACAAACCAGCATACTGAAGGAAGAGGGATTACGGCTACAGGCAGAAGTGGTGTTTTTAAGATGAAGAAAGACGTTTAAGAGAAGAACGAAATGGACAATAAATGAAAGGAAGAAGTACATTGAAGTCACATTTACTACAAGGCTGCCCAATGCTCGAGGCACTTAGAGGGAAATAATAATTGGCTGAACCCTAGGCAGGGAGAAAAACAACTCTACGGGAATTTGAAGGACCTACGATTAACAGCAGTCTTTGGTTAGCGTTTTTACGGTGCGCATCTTCATGAGATCATATGAGCGCAAGGGACACTTTAAACATTTTTTATTTGGTAGGAATTAATTTTGCATTTTGGGTGCCGGTCAAAGCCTACTCTTATCGATTTTAGAACCACCAAGGAATCTTTAACGTGTGCAACTTGCACACGGGACCTTCGAGATTTTCCGCCCCTATCCGAAAAGGGTGGGTGTTAGATCTTACCTATCTTAAGATCAGGAGTGTCGCTGAAAGATATCAGTAAGAAGTAGCGGAGGAGCAGCAGTAGAAAGGCTGCAGAAGGAGTCTAAACGAGAAGAAAGAGACTGGTTGAGTGACTCACCTGTAGACAGCGTCCAGTGTGAGAGCCCCGAAGTAGAGGCTGTCCTTGCCGTGAATCATGTCGTCAGTGTTGGACACTTTGTGACCCACGAACCGGACGTGGTCACTGATTGACACATTGCTCGTTCGTAAGGGCCATGTGGGAACCTGTAGGTGAGTAATGATAAAGATAATAATGGCCCATCCATCGCCTGACGATTATCAATGATTCTGCCGTGCGGAGCAGAAATAATAACAATAGGAATAGCCCGTCTGTCAATGTCTGACGATGATCAAGGCATCTAAACAACGAAATCGGAGACATGAGGGTTAAATAGCGTCAAGCAACTGTTATGGCCAATTAGACCAATTCTGGCGGAGAAAAAGTATACCACATTTTGAGCATTTAAAAACTTCATTTCCAGTGGTGGGTGTGCGGGGTTTAGGAGCTTCTTTCTTGGCCCGCAGAATTCCTTATGTCAAGATAGGTGTGGTAGTCCACATGAAGTTTGAAGATGCAGAAGTTGGATTCACATCATTCCTGAAGTCCAGACTGCTACTAGATGAATGGAGCACGAAAAGGAAGGAACAATTGAATGAAAGAACCAAGTTTCAGTTAATTTCCTAATCAATCAACCAATAAATCAGTTAGTCTAACACGTATACACAAGTCGGACAATTTTAAAAAAGTCTTTCAGGCTATCCATTAACCAATCTATCCATCTATCGCTATCCAGCATTCAATTTATCCATCTATTATCTCCTATCCATCAACCAACCCACCTTTTCTCCGTGAAGCATCGAACAGGGGAATCATATTATGATTGGGAATGCCGTACGTCTTTAACGATATCATGTATATCTGTTATCTCTTCAAGGACGTATCGGACACGTCTGACGGCAGACCAAAGACCATGTTGTGGCACATTTTAAACCAAACTACATGTATAATAATACACAAATCAGAACCACAGATTTGCATATTTCATAGTAGTATGCATGTCGTAGTTTGCCATTTCAAGTTAAATGTTTTTAAAAAATCGAAATAAAAGAAATATGAAAAAAGAAACTAAGGTGGGGGTTTTTTTCAAAAATGCCCC